CCCGCAACCAAGGCACATGCCCTTGACCGGAATCGAACATGGGACCCTTCAGTCCGTAGGCCGACGCTCTATCCACTGAGCCAAACCGGTTTCGGCTTCTTCCTCTTCTTAAAGGATACCTTTCAGCATTTCATATAATACTGGTTGGGTGGTGATGAACTCCTTTAGCTTTTTCTTATCTGTGAAGCTCTTTATCTGACCTTCACTTCTGAATGATAGCTTTGCTGGGTAAAGTAATCTTGGTTGTAGGTTCTTGCTATTCATCACTTTGAATATTTCTTACCATTCCCTTCTGGCCTGCAAAGTTTCTGTTGAGAAATCAGCTGACAGTCGTATGGGTACTCCCTTGTAGGTAATTAGCTGTTTTTCTCTTGCTGCTTTTAGGATACTCTCTTTGTCTTTTGCTCTTTGTGGGGAGCTGATATAGGGGTAAGCCTCAGACTGACCTGTGGGCAAAGTCAAAAACAATTCCCAGCTTAGAGGGCACAGTCCTCTTAGCATAATTAGGCTTGACCTTATGAGGCTCTCTAGATCTTATCTGGGAAGCTAATGGGCTGAGGGAAGTGCAGGAAGTGTAACTATGGTCAAAACAAGTGAAACTCACAAGAACTGTGTAACTATAGAAACCACTACCTTGTTTACCTCTCGCTATAAAATAAAGGCTCAGCTTGCCTTGGGATATCTCCTCTTTCTCTGTGGCCTCAGCCAGGCACAGGGAAGATCCACGGAGACTAAGGAAAGCTAGAGAGTTCTGAACACTGTCTCCGTGTAAATCATTCTTCGCCGACTCCGTCCACACCTTTGGGAACCCCTGGACCGCTGGGGCTGGCCCCCAGCAGCTCTTGGCATTTTAATTATGATGTGTCTTGGTGTAGTCCTCTTTGGATTCCTTTTGTTTGGAGTTCTCTGCGCATCCTGGACTTGTAAGTCTATTTCTTTCACCAGGTAGGGGAAGTTTTCTGTCATGATTTCTTCAAATAGGTTTCAATATCTTGCTCTCTCTCTTCTTCTGGCACCCCTATAATTCGGATGTTGGTACGCTTGAAGCTGTCCCAGAAGCTCCTTACACTATCTTCATATTTTTGGATTCTTTTTTCATTTTGCTTTTCCGGTTGGGTGTTTTTTGCCTCTTCGTATTTCAAATCTTTGACTTGTTTCTTGCGATCCTCTGGTCTGCTGTTGGGAGTCTGTATAATATTCTTTATTTCAGTCAGTGTATGCTTAATTTCTAGTTGGTCCTTTATCACAACATCGAGGGTCTCACTAGATTTCTTGAGGGTCTCACTAAATTTATCGGTGGTTTCTAGAAAATTCTTGAAAAACCTAAAAAGTGTGGTTTTGAACTCTATATCCAGTAGTTTGCTTTCCTCCATTTCTGTCATTTGTGTCCTGTTTCTTTGTCTCGGCATTTTTTATGCTTCGCTGTGTCGATAGAGTGGCTTTCTGTGCTAAGTGTCCCAATTACCTGAGGTAGACACTCTTGGTGCACCCCCTTGTGGGCTTTGTGCACAGTCTTGTTGTAGTTAAGCCTTGATTGTTGTAGGTAAAACTGGGAGGATTTGAGCTCCAGGCCAATTGGCAGTGAGAATCAGCTGTGTCTGCAGTGGGAGAACTTCTGTGCTGAAGACACCCTTGTGGGGCAAGACTTGCTTCAGTGGGGCTTTGGTGCTCACTGAGTCTGCCCCCTGAGTGTGTCCCTTATAGATCTGAGGAGTTGTAATTGGATGGTCCCACTCTGACCACTAGGTACACTGGCTCTTTGATCTAAGGAGGTGCTAATCTAGCCTTTTCCTGAGGCTACCCAGCAGAAGCCAGGTGTAAAGCAATGCAAGTTGCCCTGGGGCCTTGGGGCAGCTGCAGTTTGTTAAGTTATTTTCAGATTACAATGGGCCGGGCCTTTCATATGCAAAAGCCTCCATGCACGGCTTGGGCGGGATGGGGTCCCAGGGGATCAACAGTGCGGCCGAGCGAGTAAGCAGTATGGCTGCTCTCAGTCCTGCCTTCAGAGGTCCTGGCAGTCGCCGCGAGTGCCTCCGAGAGAAAGCTGCCCTCGAGTTCTGACCGATGCCAGACAGTCCCGTTTCTCCCGTATGAGTCTGGGTCCACAGAGACTCACCCGGAACTGGAGCTCAGAGCCTGAGACTCCCTCCCAATTGAAAAAGACAATCGTGTCCTCAGCCGGCAGCCCTCTCCGCATGCACCTCCGCACCTTTGTATTTACTTCAGCACCGCACCTCCTTTGAGTCTCGGTATGCTTTTCTCTTCTAGTTGTAGAAATTCCACTCAGCCAGCCTTCCTGTGTTTCTGGATGATGTCCGTTATGTCTTTTAGTTGTATTTTTGAAGTGGTTGTGCAAGGCAGCAATCTCCGGTGTTTACCTATGCCGCCATCTTGGTTTCTCCCTCAACCTCTAATGTTAATATGGCAACTACAGCTGTCTTTGAATAAGTGTTAGCATGATATGTCTTTTTTCATCCTCTTGACTGATAATGTGTTTTTATATGCAAAGTGGGTTTCTTCTCCACTTAATAAACATAGCTGGAATTTTGGAATACAAAATTACCATAATGTCCTAGCTGGTTTGGCTCAGTGGATAAAGTGTCGGCCCTCAGACTGAAGCGTCCTGGGTTTGATTCTGGTTAAGGGCACATGCCTCAGTTGCAGGTCTGTGCAGGAGGCAACCAGTCAATGGTGTCTCTCTCACATCGATGTTTCTCTCTCTTTGTCTCTCCCTCTCCCTTCTACTCTCTCTATAAATCAATGGAAAAATATGCTTGGGTGAGGATTAACAACAACAAAAATTACCATGAAGCACACACTTTAGTAAAACATGAATGGATGAAAGTTTGAGTGGAAACAGTTTATTTATATAATTGCAAAGTAGTTCCCCTATAACATTTATTAAATATATTTTTATTGATTTCAGAGGGTAAGGGAGAGGGAGAGAGAGATAGGAATAGAAACATCAATGATGAGAGAGAATCATTAATTGGCTGACTCCTAAATGCCCCCCACAGGGTCTGAAGCCCACAACCTGGGTATGTGCCCTGACTGGGAATTGAACTGTGACCTCCTAGTTCATAGGTCAATGCTCAATCACTGAATCACATTGGCTGGCCTCCCTGTGATATTTATTAATTACAAAGGGAAAATAACTTTATTTTTTTAATATATATTTTTATGATTTCAGAGAGGAAAGGAGCGGGAGAGTTAGTGATGAGAGAGAATCATTGATTGGCTGCCTCCTGCACACCCCACACTGGGAATTGGGCCTGCAATCCCAGCATATGCCCTGACCGGGAATCGAACCATGACTCCTAGGTCATAGGTCAATGCTCAGCCACTGAGCCACGCTGGCCAGATGAGAGAGTAACTTTATGTGGAGAATTTTGGCTGGCACCACCTTAAACAGGTGATCAAGTTAGCATCACCAGTTATAAGACTTAATTATGTCTCGTATACTCTGATATAATACACTGAGAAGGGCACATCACCCTTGTTGTCTTCTTTCCCAAAATACATAACATTGATCTAATCTTTGGAAAACAGGCAAATCTAAATTGCTACAAAGGAATAATGCTTTAAATGTCAAAGTCATAAAAGACAAGAAAAGACTGAATAAGAACCATCACAGACTGAAGGATTCTAAAGAGACATAACAACTAAATACAGTGTGGGATCCTGGATTGGACCCTGGAACAGAAAAAAGACATAAATAGAAAACCTGATGAAACTTAAATTAATTCTGTAATTTACTAAATAATAGTATATGAATGTCAGTGTCCTAATTTTGGTAGTTTTACTGTGGTTCTATAAGGTTGCATTAGGAGAAGCTGGGTCAAGAGTATACAGAAACTCTATACTATTTTTGCAACTTTTCTTTAAATTTGATAATATTTCGAAATAAAGGTATACAGTAAAAATAATAAAGTGGATCTGTTACAGGGCAGCATAGTTGAATGTTGTCTTTTAAAATCCAGTCTGACAATCTGCCTTTTGATTGATCTTTGATATATGATTATTTTAATACTAGAGGTCTGGTGCATAAAATTCATGCACGGAGGGGGTGGTCCCTCAGCCCGCCTGCACCCTCTTCAATCCAGGACCCTTGACTCCTAACCACTCACCTTCCTGCCTGCCTGCCTGATTGCCCCTAACCGCTCTCCCCTGCCGGCCTGATCGCCCCTAACTGCTCTCCCCTGCCGGCCTGATCGCCCCCTAACCTCCTCTGCCTTGTCCCCTGCCACCGTGGCTATGTCCGGAAGGACATCCAGAAGGATGTCAGGTCTAATTAGCATATTACCCTTTTATTAGTATAGGTTATTATTGACATAGTTGGGTTTAACTCTATCATCTAGCTATTTTTTATTTGTCCCATCTCTTCTTTGTTTCCCTTTTTCTTTTTTTATCTGCCTTCTTTTGGATTAATAGAGTGTTTTTTATTTCACCTAATCTCTTTTGTTGGTTTATTAGTAATACCTTTTGTTTTTCAGTGGTTGCTTTAGAGTTTATAGTACATGTCTTACCAATATTACCGGTATACCACTTCATGTCTCATGTAAGAGCATTACAACATTTTCGCTTTCCTGGCCTAAGTGCTATTTCATACATTTTATTTCTGCATTCATCATAAACCTTAAATACCTCGCTATTCTTTTTTTTCTATTGTGGTAAAATATGCATAACATAAAACTTACATTTTAATCCTTGTTAAGTATACAATTCAGTGGTATTAAGTATATTTACAATGTTGTGCAGCCATGCCATGTGAATAGCACCCTGATTAAGAAACAATATACCCTGGTATTGGTAATTTTTCAAAATACAGTTCTTTCTGGTGTAATTAGGTAAAATTAAAAGCATGCTAAATGACCATGACTAGATAATTTCCAGTTTTAAACTTTTTGAAACTGGGGTTGTATACTATACAAAAAGTTGTTCTGTTTATTTTTATAAACATCACTTATATTTTGTTTAATCAAGATATTTCTTCTTGGCAGTGGACTCTCGAAAAATTGATCAGGAGGGAAAAATCCCAACAGAAACATTGGAGAAACTGAAGAGCCTGGGGCTTTTTGGGATGCAAGTCCCAGAAGAATATGGTAAGTAAAAAAGATACCCACCTCCCCCCACCCCCACCCCCGCCTGCTGGTTGTCTGTCTCTTAAGAAAGTACTCTATTTTTGTTTAAAAAAAGAGTTATTTTGGGGAAGGGTGGCCTTTTAAGTGCAATATGTCCAAGATCGAGCTGTAAAACAGCTGGAATTAATAAAAACATCTGTCATTGGCTGAATACCAGATGGCTGGTTAGTGAGTGTGTGTGGACTGGCTCAGGGCAGGAAGTGTGCTTTTTTTCCCTGTGGAATGGACCAGAGACCACTGCAGGAGCTGATTGCAGTGTCATCTCCACTGTATAGTCCTTTGGTCTCTGGCATAGGAATTGCCCTTGGAGCCACTTACGCTTCATGTTGGAGGGATAAATGTGTGGTGAGAGTTCAGGTGCCAGGGTTTGGCTTCTCATACTGGTGCAGAGGAGTAAGGCATAAGGCTGTAGGGCACAAGGTACATCTAAAAAACCCTAACTTGTTCCATTACAGACCTAATGCTAGTGAGTGTAAGGTTTTGTTGTAATATGTGTATCGGTGTTAAATAGACGGAATTGTTCTCGAACCTGTGGCCTGTGGGGGATTTTACTAGGGACCTTCGAGCAGGCTCTATGTCCTCTGGACTGTGCATAGCATCTGTGGAGCTTCATAGTGACATTTTAAGCCCCCAAGTGAAAGACCTTGTCTTTCTCCTCAGGATCCCAGAGTAATTCTGTTTATCAGATTTGGCTGATCACTTGTTTCTTTTTTTGCCTAATCTAAAGGTGGTCATCCCTGTTCTGTGGGATTAAGGGGACAGGCAAGAATTGTGTGCAGGGAGAGGGATAGACAGTGTCTCAGAGACAGACACAGTCATACGCATGCATGGGCATGCACACCCACACACAGTTTTTACTCTCAGGCCCTTTTGACATGAAAGTGTGGCTCTAGGTTCTCAGCCTGCACCCACTTCTCTGAGCCCTCTTCCTGAGGCTTTGCTGGCTGGGGCTGCTCCCATTGTGATCAGCTATGGGGCAGGAGTTTAGGGGAGAGGTAGTCGTGCTTTTAGTGCTGGGTGTATTTCATGGGTGTAGCTGTTCATCTGGAGGTTTTTAGTACTTGGGGCATTTTTCCAGCCATATTTTAAATTAGGTTTGCATAGCAAATCACAGAATCCAGGAGCTTGTCTTGATGGTCTATCTCAGTGGTTCTCAACCTTCCTAATGCCACAACCCTTTAATACAGTTCCTCATGTTGTGGTGACCCCCAACCATAAAATTATTTTCATTGCTACTTCATAACTGTAATTTTGCTACTGTTATGAATCATAATGTAAATAAATATCTGATATGCAGGATGTATTTCCATTGTTACAAATTGAATATAATTAAAGCATAGTGATTAATCACAAAAACAATATGTAATTATATATGTGTTTTCCGATGGTCTTAGGCAACCCCTGTGAAAGGGTCATTCTACCCCCAAAGGGGTCGCGACCCACAGGTTGAGAACCGCTGGTCTATCTTCTTCCCTGTTTTACCTAAGAGACTAAAGTTATACCACCCAGCCCCTGCACCCCAAGTTGGGCAGCCATAAGTAGGGGACCCTAATGTTTGTAGAATAAGTACCCATTGTACCCATCCTGGAACTGGTCCATTGTGAGACAAAATGTGAAAATTTAGGACAAATTAGTGTGCTATCTAATTTCCTTGATTCTGAGGCATAGCTTAATCAGGCTAAATCTTACATTATATGTATGTTTATTGCTTTGCTTTAAACTGTTCAATGGTGTATCTTTTTTTTTAAGGTGTATTTTTATTGATTTCAGAGAGGAAGGGAAAGGGAGAGGGAGAGAGAGAAAGAAACATCAGTGATGAAAAAGAATCATCAATAGGGTGCCTTCTGCATGTCCCCCCACTGGGGATTGAGCTGCAACCTAGGCATGTGCCTGTAACCTCCTGGATCATAGGTCGATGCTCAACCATTGAGCCACAATGGCCAGGCTAAATGGTGTATCTTACTTGTCCTTGTATAAAAGACCTTTCATCACATTTCCAAATGTAGAAAAATATTCTATTATACAGAAGACATAAAATAATCATGGATGTTGCTCCCCCACAATCGTTGGAATTCACAGCACAGACCTCTACAGCCAGACTTTCTATTTCTTAACAGAAATCTGCAGCCTCTGAGTGAGGTAGGGGGAGACTGCATTCTTTCAGACACCTGAGACTTGTCAGTATTATAACACAAGTGACAGGGGAATTATCTGCCATAACACACGGGCTGCATTGAATACTAGTTAGCAAGCAGGTGGGGGTAGAGCTGGAGAGTGGTGGTTGGTCTGTCATCCACTGGAAAATATAAGTGCTTGGAGTAAGCAAATATCAGGGGGAAGCCTCTAGACCAGTGATGCGAACCTTTTGAGCTTGGTGTGTCAGCATTTTGAAAAACCCTAACTTAACTCTGGTGCCGTGTCACATATAGAATTTTTTTTGATATTTGCAACCATAGTAAAACAAAGATTTATATTTTTAATATTTATTTTATACTAGAGGCCCGGTGCACAAAAATTTGTGCACGGGGGTGGGGGGGTGTCCCTTAGCCCGGCCTGTGCCCTCTCGCAGTCTGGGACCCCTCAGGGGATGACCACCTGCTGGCTTAGGCCTGCTCCCCCGGGGGATTGGGCCTAAACTGACAATCAGACATCCCTCTGTCAGCCCGGGAGCCCTCGGGGGATGTCCATTTGCCAATGGAGAGCAGGTCTAAGCTGCAGTCTGACATCCTTAGCGCTGCTGTCTGACATCCTTAGCCACCACTGTACTGGCAGCCATCAGCCTGGCTTGTGGCTGAGCAGAGCTCCCCCTGTGGAAGTGCACTGACCACCAGGGGGCAGCTCCTGCATTGAGCATCTGCCCCCTGATGGTCAGTGTGTGTCATAGTGACCGGTCATTCCCAGTCTTTCTGCTGTTAGGGTCAGTTTGCATATTACCCTTTTACTATATATAGGATAGAGGCCTGGTGCACGGGTGGGGGCTGGCTGGTTTGCCCTTCAGGGTGGGGGTCCCCACTGGGGTGCCTGGCCAGCCTGGGTGAGGGGCTGATGGCTGTTTTCAGGCTGGCCATACCACCTTTAGGGTGGGGGGTCCCCACTGGGGTGCCTGGCCAGTCTGAGTGAAGGGCTGAGGGCCGTTTTCAGGCTGGCCAAGCCTCCCCAGTGACAGAAGCTCCCAGCCTCTCCTTTTTTTCTTTTTTTTCTGGGATTTATTTACCTTCTATAATTGAAACTTTGTAGCATGGAGTGGAGCTCAGAGCCGGCCAGGGCTTGGCTTCCTCCTTTGCCAGGGGCAGCCCAAGGCTCCAGCTCCATGGCCACGGCCTGCTGAAAGCAGGTATCTGGGGTTTATTTAGCTTCTATAATTGAAACTTTGTTGCTTGAGTGGAGCTCAGAGCCGGCCAGGGTGGGTGGGCGGGAAAGCCTCCTGCGCTCCAGCTCCGTGGCCACGGCCTGCTAAAAGCAGGTATCTGGGGTTTGTTTAGCTTCTATAATTGAAACTTTGTTGCTTTCAGAGCTCAGAGCTGGGCCGCGGCAGGCGGGGAACCTTGGCTTCCTCCATCACTGGAGCAAGCAAGCCTCCTGCTCGTTCCAGGTCCGTGGCTGCCGGCCGCCATCTTTGTTGGCAGTTAATTTGCATATCTCACTGATTAGCCAATGGGAGGCATAGCGAAGGTATGGTCAATTACCATGTTTGTCTATTATTAGGTAAGATATTTAAATGCCATTTAAATATGAATTGCATTTAAATATATGAAAAATCAACCAAAAAAATGAGTTCGCGTGTCACCTCTGACACGCGTGTCATAGGTTCGCCATCACTGCTCTAGACCAGCAGTTCTCAACCTGTGGGTCGCGACCCCTTTGGCGGTTGAACAACCCTTTCACAGAGGTCGCCTAAGACCATCCTGCATATCAGATATTTACATTATGATTCATAACAGTAGCAACATTACAGTTATGAAGTAGCTATGAAAATAATTTTATGGTTGGATCACAACATGAGGAACTGTATTAAAAGGGCCAGAAGGTTGAGAACCATTGCTCTAGACATAGTCAGGTTAGTAGTAATATATATTTCCCCTTCAAGATAATTTTTAAATCATTTATTGATTGATGAAAAGGACTTAATTTTTCTCCCAAACAATTTCTTTGTAAAATTGGGGTATGTCTTTTACATCTGCATATCTAATATGCCAGAATGTATTGGGTGTATGTACACATACATGGCTATGTTGGTATGATATTGCAGAACTTTCCATCCCTTATTCTTGTTTTATGTCCTACTTTCTGATATGAAATTGCTCTTTCATGAGATGTTAATGGCCATATTTGGGGCTTCTTTTCCCCCCTTTCTTTGGAAAAAAGCAACCTTATGTTCATGCCCCCAAAGTTTTGGGGAACTGTTTCCAGTCTGGAGCATTCTAGGGAGTGGTTAGTGGAATTTATTTCTTTAACAAACAAAATTGATTCCCTCAGTATCCTATATAATAAAAGCCTAGGTGGTGTCACACCCTCGTGCGACGTCATCACAAGATGGCCACCACAAGATGGCCACCCTCACGTCATCACAAGATGGCTACCACAAAGATGGCAGGCAGGGGAAGGCAGTTGGGGGCGATCGGGCTGGCAGGAGAGGGCAGTTGGGGGTGAACAGGCCAGGAGGGGAGGGCAGTTGGGGGCGATGAGGCCAGCAGGGGAGGAGTTAGGCGTCAATCAGGCCAGCAAGGGAGCGGTTAGGGGGCGATCAGGCAGGCAGGCAGGTGAGCAGTTAGGAGCCAGCAGTCTCGGATTGTGAGAGAGATGTCCGACTGCCGGTGAAGGATCGGGCCTAAACCGGCAGTCAGACGTCCCCCGAGGGGTCCCAGATTGGAGAAGGTGCAGGCCAGGCTGAGGGACACCCCCCCCCCCCCCCCCCGCACAAATTTCATGCACCGAGCCTCTAGTATGAAATAAATAAAAGTGTTTTTGATTGAAACAGGTGGAAAGGGGGGAAGTGGTACTGCAGAGCCCTGGCCTTCCTGGTGCCACCATTGAACCCATGGACTACACACTAGGCAGGGCCAGTCCACATCTCTGCAGGGACTTAGCCCTCCCTTTGTATGTGAATGGTGGCTCCAGTGACAGCGCCCCAGCCCTGCTACATTTTGGCCGCATGATCTTAGGCCTCAGTTCATCATTTGTAAGATGCACATATGGTCACTCAGCCACCTGTGGAAGTTGAAGATGAAATGCAAAATATGTAAGTTCAGTGAAGGTTTTGTTTTTGTTTCTTTAATCTTTGTCTTTTTACTCCAGAATAATGATTCCCAGCTAGGATGATTTTGTTCCTCAGGAGACATTGGACAATGTCTAGAGAATTTTTGGTTGTCAAACTGTGGGGAGGGGGACTTCTGGCATCTAGTGGGTGGAGGCCAAGAATGCTGCTAAACATCCTACAGTGCACAGAACAGTCCCCACAACAAAGAATGATCCATCCTAAAATGTTAATAGTACCACGCAGAATAATATCTGTCCTGGAGTCCACTGGACCCTGGAATGAGACCCTGGAAAGCTCTTTGATTCACAAAGATCTATATCTGACAGGAGATAATCACAACATATTAAATGATGTAAGGATATTTTTATATTTTTGTATTATAGATTATATACTTCTATGTTAAAAATAAATCTATATATGCTCATATGCCTAGAAAAGTCTGACAAGATATACACAAAAATATGAGTGATGTTTATAGGTGACTTTTGTTTTCTTTGTACCTTTCTGTATTGTGATTTTTTTTTAAATGGTGATCTGCCATTCTTTTTTCTTTTTTTAAATTTTTTTTAAAAATATATTTTATTGGTTTTCTACAGAGAGGAAGGGAGAGGGACAGAGAGCCCGAAACATCAATGAGAGAGAAACATCGATCAGTCGCCTCCTGCACACCCCCCACTGGGAACATGCCCGCAACCAAGGCACATGCCCCTGACCGGAACCGAACCCGGGACCCTTCAGTCCGCAGGCCAACGCTCCATCCACTGAGCCAAACCGGCTAGGGCCTGTCATTCTTTCATAATCAGAAAAGACCAGTAAAGCCATTTGCCTTTAATGGGAGGAATTTAGGACTGGACCATAAGTAAAACTGGTCTGTTTCTCCTCTAGGTGGCCTGGGCCTCTCCAACACCATGTATGCGCGGCTAGGGGAGATTGTCGGCCTAGACGCGTCAATCGCTGTGACCCTGGCAGCACACCAGGCCATCGGCCTCAAGGTCAAGTATCTGGGGATGCTTTCTATGACTCCAGAAGACCTTCAGGAAGTGAATTGTGCTTGCTGTCTCAGGGTCTGGGAGGAGGGCCTAGCCTGCACCTGTCTCCTCGCCCTGCAGTGCCTCGTTTGTGCACACCCATTCTCAGCCCTGCTGGATAGTGCTCAGTCCCTGCACAAGCAGTGGCTCTTTGCACTGTTCCTTCCCTTTGAATCTTCCTCCTGTCCCCATTGCCTTTGACCTGCCCTTTAGAGGTCCAGTTGTGATGCTGCTGCCTCCGCAGAGCCTGTCCTCACCTCAGACTGGATGTGAACCACCCCACTGAGTCTTGAGCATTCACCTGGGGCCTGAGCAGGTCCTCCCTGCTGTTGGTCTTCCTCACCCCACTGGGCTCAGAACATTTTATGGCAGGTCCAGGGTCACACCACTCTTATCAACAATCCAATTACTTGGGTTGTTTTTGCTCAATGTAGATACCACAGTGAGCTGAGTGCACAGCATGCTTGGCTCCCTGACTCTCAGGGTGTGTGTGCTGTATACAGTCTCTCGGTGGGAAGAGTGGACATGCCCATTCAGCACCAAGAAGGGGGTGGGACAGTTCTGACATTGACTGAACACCTTTATGCCTGGTATGGCTCTAGCATTCCCACCTCTTCACATTTTTTCATCCAAACCATCCCTGCAGTGGGTAGAATTATCCCCTGTGTGTGGGTGAGGAGATGGGAGCTCAGAGAGGGGACATCCCTTACCCAAGACCACCCAGCTAGATAATGGGGGCTATAATGAAAATCCCTGAATCTGACCCCAAAGCTCTGCTGGGCCTCCAGGCCTCTGGAGTGTGCACTTTAGGGTAGGTCCTTTGCAGTCTGGTTCCCGACTTTTTACCTGAGGCTGCTAGCTCTGACTCAGCGTTTCCTTTTGCATGAAGTAAGGATTACCTTCAGAAGCCATGTTCTACAGCGTATTTTAGTGTTCTCTCTCCAAAGCTAAAATCAGCCTGTGTGTCTTGTTTAGGGGATCATCTTGGCCGGTAGTGAAGAGCAGAAGGCCAAATATCTGCCCAAACTGGCATCAGGAGAACACATTGCCGCCTTCTGCCTGACGGAGCCAGCCAGGTCTGCTTGGCATGAGCTGCCCTGGAACAGCGTCTTCCAGGGTGCACTGGGAGGGGGGCTGTAGTTTTTGCTGAATAGATGGTGACTTTTATTTCTTCTTTCTCTGTATTTTTCCAAGAGTCAACTCAGTAACTTTTCTTGCCAGTTCTCTTGTCTTTATTTTTCTCTCCTAGTGAGAGTTATAAGTGAGCTAACAAATCTGACAGCACCTATTAAATAATTATTTTGTGGTTTGCAACACCTCCTTTCAAGGCTTCATAGCAACTTTCAGAGTATGGAGGGAGGGAGACACATCTATTGGTTGCCTCCTGACTAGGGCCAAATATCGAACCTGCAACCCAGGTACATGCCCTTGTAAACAAAGTGTTACTGGAACATGTCTGCTCGTTTACAAATTGTCTGTGGCTGCCTTTATGCCACAGTTGCAGAGTTGAGGAGTTGGGACAGGTATCCTGTAGCCTGAAAAGCTGAATATATTTATAATCTGGCCCTGTGTATTTTAAACATTTGCCAACTCCTGTATTAAAGTAAAAACCTTTGTTTTTGGGCCTTCCAAACCATTCTTATTGATTTCCAGCATTACTCTCCTCAACAGCCTGTTTCTGTCCCTACAGTGGAAGCGATGCTGCCTCCATCCGGACTAGGGCCTCTCTAAGTGAAGATAAGAAGCACTATATCTTGAATGGCTCCAAGGTACAACTCCATGGCTTCACCGGGATCTCAGTCATAACCTTCACTACCACTCACTGACCACTTTCTGTTTTTCTTTTTTTTTTTAAATTAAATCTTTATTGTTCAGACTATTACAGTTATTCCTCTTTCCCCCCCCCCCCATAGCTCCCCTCCACCCGGTTCCCACCCCCCCTCTCTGCCCTTACCCCCCTCCCCCACTGTCCTCATCCATAGGTGTACAATTTTTGTCCAGTCTCTTCCCGCACCCCCACACCCCTTTCTCCCCGAGAATTGTCAGTCCACTCCCTTTCTATGCCCCTGATTATATTATATTCACCAGTTTATTCTGTTCATCAGATTTTTTGTATTCACTTGATTTTTAGATTCACTTTTTGATAGATATGTATTTGTTGTTCATGATTTTTATCTTTACCTTTTTCTTCTTCTTCCTCTTCTTAAAGAGTACCTTTCAGCATTTCATATAATCCTGGTTTGGTGGTGTACAATTTTTGTCCAGTCTCTTCCCGCACCCCCACACCCCTTTCTCCCCGAGAATTGTCAGTCCACTCCCTTTCTATGCCCCTGATTATATTATATTCACCAGTTTATTCTGTTCATCAGATTTTTTGTATTCACTTGATTTTTAGATTCACTTTTTGATAGATATGTATTTGTTGTTCATGATTTTTATCTTTACCTTTTTCTTCTTCTTCCTCTTCTTAAAGAATACCTTTCAGCATTTCATATAATCCTGGTTTGGTGGTGATGAACTCCTTTAGCTTTTTCTTATCTGTGAAGCTCTTTATCTGACCTTCAATTCTGAATGATAGCTTTGCTGGGTAAAGTAATCTTGGTTGTAGGTTCTTGCTATTCATCACTCTGAATATTTCTTGCCACTCCCTTCTGGCCTGCATAGTTTCTGTTGAGAAATCAGCTGACAGTCATATGGGTACTCCCTTGTAGGTAACTAGCTGTTTTTCTCTTGCTGCTTTTAAGATTCTCTCTTTGTCTTTTGCTCTTGGCATTTTAATTATGATGTGTCTTGGTGTGGTCCTCTTTGGATTCCTTTTGTTTGGGGTTCTCTGCGCTTCCTGGACTTGTAAGTCTATTTCTTTCACCAGGTAGGGGAAGTTTTCTGTCATGATTTCTTCAAATAGGTTTTCAATATCTTGCTCTCTCTCTTCTTCTGGCACCCCCATAATTCGGATGTTGGTATGCTTGAAGTTGTCCCAGAGGCTCCTTACACTATCTTCATATTTTTGGATTCTTTTTGCTTTTCCAGTTGGGTGTTTTTTGCTTCTTCGTATTTCGAATCTTTGACTTGATTCTTGTGATCCTCTAGTCTGCTATTGGATCTCTGTATAATATTCTTTATTTCAGTCAGTGTATGCTTAATTTCTAGTTGGTCCTTTTTCATATTCTCGAGGGTCTCACTAGATTTCTTGAGGGTCTCACTAAATTTATCGGCGGTTTCTAGAAAATTCTTGAAAAACCTTATAAGTGTGGTTTTAAACTCTATATCCAGTAGTTTGCTTTCCTCCATTTCTGTCATTTGTGACCTGTTTCTTTGTCTCCGCATTTTGGCTGCTTCCCTGTGTTGATAGAGTGGCTTTCTGTGCTAGATGTCCTATAGGGCCCAGTGGCTCAGCCTCCCCAATTACCTGAGGTGGACACTTTTGATGCACCCCTTTGTGGGCTTTGTGCACAGTCTTGTTGTAGTTAAGCCTTGATTGTTGTAGGTATCAGTGGGAGGAATTGACCTCCAGGCCAATTGGCTGTGAGATTCAGCTGTGTCTACGGTGGAAGAACTTCTGTGCTGGAGACACCCTTATGGGGCAAGACTTGCTTCAGTGGGGCTTTGGTGCTCACTGAGTCTGCCCCCTGAGTGTGTCCCTTATGGATCTGAGGAGTTGTAATTGGATGGTCCCACTCTGACCACTGGGTACACTGGCTCTTGGATGTCTAAGGAGGTGTTAATTTAGCCTCTGCCTGAGGCTACCCAGCAGGAGCTATTGAGAGATCTGCAGATTCCTCTTCTTTGTTTGGGGTTTGGAGGTGCCCAGATGAGGCCCAGCTGTGAAGCAATGCAAGCTGCTGTGGGGCCTTGGGCCTTCTTTTGGATGTTCTGGGTCTCTCTGACCCAGCTGCAGTTTGTTAGGTAATTTTAGATTGCAAACGGCCAGGCCTTTCATATGCAAAAGCCTCTGAACACAATTTGGGTGGGGCGGGGTCTCAGGGAATCAACAGGGCAGAGCAAAAATCTATGGCTGATCCTCAGCCCTGCCCTAAGAGGCCCCGGTCTCAGTGTCCCGCGGTAATTGCTGCAAGCACCTCTGAGAGAAAGCCGCCCTCGATGCCAGACATCCCAGTTTCTCCCCGTGTGAGTCTGGGTCCCGAGAGACTCGCCCAGAACTGGAGTTCAGAGCAGTCGGGTGCTTGAGACTCCCTCCTGATTGAAAAAGACAACCGCGTCCTCAGTTGCCAGCCCTTTCCGCGTGCGCCTCCGTACCTCTGCACTTTACTTCCGTACCTCCTCTGAGTCTCAGTGTGCTTTTCTCTTTCCTTCTAGTTGTAGAATTTCCACTCAGCCAGCCTTCCTATGGTTCTGGATGATGTCCGTTTTGTCTTTCAGTTGTATTTTTGAAGTGGTTGTGCGAGGCAGCAATTTCAGGTGTTTACCTATGCCGCCATCTTGGTTTCTCCCCTCGGTCAGTGGTCTCACTGACCACTTTCCACGCACCAGGGACTGCCAAGGGCCTACACATCATCTTTTGACCATCACCTCTTGGGTGGATGCTACTTTCTTTTTTTGAAAGAAGAAACTGGGTCTCAAGGAGGTTCTGCAGACATCCTATGCTTAGTGACAGAGCCAGGATTGGAGCCAAGGAGTTCTGGCTCCACAATCTATATGTTTCCATAGTACCAACTACTTCCCTGATCTACTGTTGGTTGTTTGTTTTTAAGTTCAGTACTGTGAACTTCTATGTACCCTCACCATCTTCAGCAATTATTTCTTCTTAGCCAGTCTTGTTTCTCTGTCAGCATTGCCACCTCTGGATTGCATCCATACTGTTTCAGCTAAAAGGCAGGAATTTTTTTTTTTAATTATAATACCATTAACACAATTTTAAAAATTTATAATTCCTTACTATCTAGTTATCATTCAAATTTCTATGACTATTTCTGTGGTTACTTTTTTATTTTTCCAATCATTTGCTTGAATTAAGATCCAAATAGGTTCCATACATTGTGTTGAGAAGTTTCTATATTTACCTCTCCCTTCCTCTGCTATTTCTTCCACCCCGTTTCCTTGCTCCTTTCTGTCCCTATTCCCCTTTCTTGAGAAAACCCATTTGTTTAGTGCTAGAGCTTGAACCATCTTAGTACCATTGGCTATTCTTCTACACCAGCAGTTCTCAACCTGTGGGTCGCAACCCCTTTGGGGGTCGAATGACCCTTTCACAGGGGTCGCCTAAGACCATTGGAAAACACATATATAATTACATATTGTTTTTGTGATTAATCACTATGCTTTAATTATGTTCAATTTGTAACAATGAAATTGGGGGTCACCACAACATGAGGAACTGTATTAAAGGGTCGCGGCATTAGGAAGGTTGAGAACCACTGTTCTACACCCTCCCGCCCAACACACACACACACACACACACACACACACACACACACACACATGGCCACTTGTGTCTCTTGGCAAAATCCTTGCTCTGGAGTGACTGGGTTCCCCAGGGCTTTACAGTCTAGCCCAGTGATGGTGAACCTATGACACGCGTGTCAAAGGTGACACGCGAACTCATTTTTTTGGTTGATTTTTCTTTGTTAAATGGCATTTAAATATATAAAATAAATATCAAAAATATAAGTCTTTGTTTTACTATGGTTGCAAATATCAAAAAATTTCTATATGTGACACGGCACCAGAGTTAAGTTAGGGTTTTTCAAAATGCTGACACGCCGAGCTCAAAAGGTTCGCCATCACTGCTCTAGCCTGAAGTTCGATGGGCAGCTGGCATGTCTTGTGGCAAAGATGGGGCTTAGAGGTGGCTCATGATAGTTTGGTTTTCTCCAAAGTTCTTTTGCTTTTTTCCTTCAGGTCTGGATCACCAATGGAGGACTTGCCAGTATTTTTACCGTGTTTGCTAAAACCAATGTTGTTGATTCCGACGGCTCAGTAAAAGACAAAATGACAGCATTTATAGTAGAGAGAGACTTTGGTGGAATCACTAATGGGAAGCCTGAAGATAAGTTAGGCATCCGTGGCTCAAACAGTAAGTTGTGTGTGTGTTCGTGTGTGTGTGTGTGTGTGTGTGTGTGTGTGTGTGTGTGTGTGAGAGAGAGAGAGAGAGAGAGAGAGAGAGAGAGATCCTTTAGCTCCATCCAAGTGTCGAGATAAAATTAGATTTAAGTAGTTTTGATTGTACTTAAATATTTTAGCAACATCAAATTAAGAATGCCATGATAGCTGTTTTAAATAATGCTGCTGTGAACATAGGGGTGCATATCTCTGTTCAAAGTAGTGTTCTTGTTTTCTTCCAACAAATACCCAGAAGTATAATTGCTGGGTTGTATGGTATATCTATTTTTAGTTTTTGAGGAATCGCCATACTGTTTTCCATAGGGGCTACACCCCACCAACAGAGTTCAAGGGTTCCCTGTTCTCCACATCCTCACCAACACATGTTATTTGTTGACTTTTTATAATAGCCATTCTGACTAGTGTGAGGTGATTTCACATTGTGGCTTCGATTGGCATTTCTTTGATGATTAGTGATGAGTATCTTTTCTCTGTATGTTCTCATTGGAGAAATAACTTTTTATTTTCTTTGCCCATTTTTCTATCAGATTTTTTAATTTTGGGGATTGACTTTTATGAGTTTCTTATATATTTTGGATATCAACCCCTTATCATTTGCAATTATATTTTCCCATTCAGTAGATTGTCTTTTTGTTTTGGTGAAGGTTTCCTTTGCTGTACAGGAGCTTATTGGTTTGATATAGTCCCATTTGTTTGCTTTTGCTTTTGGTTCCTTTGCTCGGGAGGTTGTATCCAAAAAGATATTACTCAGACTGATGTCAAATAGTTTGTTTCCTATGTTTTATTATAGGAGATTTAGTCTTTAACCATTTTGAGTTTGTTTATTTGTTTGTTTTTGTTTAATCCTCACCTGAGTATATTTTTCCATTGATTTTTTAGAGAGAATGGAAGGGATGGAGGGAGGGGGAAAGAGAAAGAGAGCGAAAGAAACATTGATGTGAGAGAGACACATCAGTTGGTTGCCTCCTGACCAGGGATCAAAACTGCAAACCAGGTCATGCCCTTAACCAGGAATCAAACCCACAGTCTTTTGGTGGGCAGGCCGACCTTCTACCCACTGAACACACCGGCGAGGGCTTGAGTTTATTGTTGTATATGGTGTGAGAGAGTGTCTAGTTTTTCCAATACCACTTATATACTGGCCTTAACATCAGTGATGCTCAGCGCATGGAAAGATGCACAGTCACTGTGGCATTCTTTTCAATATAAATATAGTTGGTATACAGTATTATATTGGTTATATTAGTTGTTACTCCATTGTATATGTTTTACCTCTTTGGTCATAGACTATATAAGTGAGCGTTTATTTCTGTTCCATTGATCTATGTGTCTGCTTTTTTTGCCAGTATCATGCTGTTTTGATTATTACAGCTTTGCAGTGTAGTTTGAGATCAGGGAGCGTGATACCAGCAACTTTGTTCTTCTTTATTTGGGGTTGCTTTCATTATTTGGGGTTTTGTGTTGTTCCATATAAATTTTAGGAATATTTGTTCTTGTTCTGAAAAGAATGACTATATATACACTACAATATGTGTTGCAGCATTACTTACAATAGCCCAAATATGGAAGCAACCTAAGTGTCCATCGATAGATGAATAGGTAAAGATGTGTTGTGTATATACATATGGAAAATTACACAGCAATAAAAAGAATGAAATATTGCCATTTGCAACAACATGGATTGATCTAGAAGGTATTATGCTAAGTGAAATAAGTGAGGCAGAGAAAGACAAATACCAAATGATTTCATTTATATGTAAAATCTAAAAAAATAAAACAAATGAACAAACAAAACAAAAATAGACTCATAGAAACAGAGGCCAAAGGTGTGTTACCAGAAGGTAGATGGTGGGAGGATGAGTGAAATGGGGAAAGGAAATATAGTCAATAATGTGATAATTTTGCACAAATTATTACGAGAATTAGTGTGATGATTACATTGTAAGTTAAAAAATGTCGAATCACAATAATGTCTATATAATACTGTATACCAACTATATTTATATTAAAAAAGAATGCCACAGTGACTGTGCACCTTTCCATGCCCTGAGCATCAGTGATGTTAAGGCTAGCGAAACAGTCACAGTCTTGTGGAGTTCTCAGCCTTGTGAGGGAAGCATAGTGGATACAAAGAAGGGCAGTGGGTATCCTAGGTTAATATTCCATTGCAGGACACCCCATATTCCCTCCTTCTCTCACTTCCCTTTCTACCTGCCCAGACCTGTTTGTAGCCCCTGGTCAGCACTCGATTTACTTGAGGCTGGGTCTTGTGAGTGGCCCTCAGGCTGCCCAGAGATGCAGTGGTATCCTCATAGGACTCTACCTCGTGGGACTCCTACTTCAGATCATGGAGAGTCTGGCTTCAGAGACTGCATACCACCCTGGCACCTCCAGACCCACTTCTGTCTGCCACCTTGTCCTTGGGGACCCTGTGTTCTGAATGGTGGTATTTGCCATGACATCTGCTTGGCCTCTGGGAGAGGGGGTGTCAGAGGGCCTGAGCTCTAACCTGGCTCTGGCACATAGAAGCTGTGTGTCCTCGAACAAGTTAGTTTGCTTTTCTTCAGTTTCCTCACCTAAAAAAAAGGGATGCCCTAGCTGGTTTGGCCCTGTGGATAGAGCGTCTGCCTGCAGACTGAAGGGTCCCGGGTTCCATTCTGGTCAAGGGCACATGCCCGGGTTGCGGGCTCAATTGCCAGTAGGGGCCGTGCAGGAGGCAGCCAATGAATGATTCTCTCTCATCAATGTTTCTTTCTCTCTCTCCCTCTCCCTTCCTCTCTGAAATCAATAAAAATATTTTTATAAAAGGGGAGGAGGATGATAATAGAACCTTCATTGTGGAGGTGACATGAGAAGGGAGCATTACGATGTACGTAAAATGCTGAGTGCACATGGAAGCTGAAAATGTTAGTTATTGCTATTACTGATATTACCCACCATGACTGGTGCTGCCTGTTGAGTAATGAATGTTCCAACAGAGGAAGCAGCAGGCTCAGAGACCCTGAGATAAGAAAGAGCTCAGTGTGCTAGTGGGGAAAAGTGGCCAGAGGGACCAGGGTGGAGAGAAAGAGCAGGGCTGCCACTATACACTGCTGTGGGGGCACTGTCCATACTGAGGTCTGGGTAGGTAGTGCCCACGGGGATTATGCAGTGGCCCTGTGTGTGGGGGGTGGGGGTGGGGGGGGGTTGAGGGGCACAAGATGAGGTCAGAGAGGGAAAAAGGGTCCTCCCCACACCAGCAGCCTGTGAAGGAACAAGAGCTGTTAGGAGAAGGGCCTTGGCCTCACAGCCCATGTGCTTAAGCCATACATGAGACCCTGGTCAGCACTGATTTACAGAGAGATGAGTATTTCATTGTATTTTACAACCAGGCTGTTTGAACACAGCTGTAATCATAGAATAGGTTAGCAACCCTGGTTGCCCACACTTGGTTTGGCTGCTGCTTGGCTACTTGAGCCAGGTCTTCCCTGTCCTGAGCCTCCCTTTTCTCTGGCATTAGTTGCCGGAAGCCATTTCTTTATAACATAACATTCAGAAGCACGCTGTTCCAGAGAACACAGTGGAGAAGACTCTGTCTGTCCTTTCCCCATCTCTTCCCTCACCTTGACATGCTTACCTAACTGTTCTCATCACATTGACCTCCACATCCCAACACGCCAGGTGCATGTTCACTGTAAGGTCTGCCAGTCATCCATCACTGCAGTAACTCGCCTGAGAAACCACCCAGGACTGGGCGTTTATTTCTCTCCCACAGTTACCAGGTGCTGTGGGCTGGGTTCAGGTGTGCCATTTGTTCTCTTAAATACGCTGGAGTGAGTTCTCACAGCAGATCGTAAGAGCCCAAGCAGTCAAGCCAGACTGGATCAGCACATTGAAGGCCTCTCTGCTCATGTTGGTTGGCTCCATGGCCCTGGCCTCAGCAAGTTACATGGCCAAACCTGGCATTGTGGGTAGAGAAAGGCAAATCTCCTTCCACAGAGCCACAGTGCAGGGTTTGGCTGCATTGAGCAGAGTGAAATGGGACCGATACTCCCATTTGCAATGGGAGCCAAGCTTTTTTGTTCTGTCTCTGGCTCTTTCTCATCCTTAAAACTTCACCTTAGAAAAGTCTGACATAAACCCTTAGTAAAAATAGTATTACCCATGCCCCTCCAACCTCCATTTCTGTTACAATGCTGTATTTAGTTTATCTGTCTCACTTAACAGTGTTGTAATATCTTGTTTATAGTTTATCTCCCTAACTAAGGTGTGAGCTCCACTTGGACAGAAACCTGGTCTTTCTGTACTGTCCTGTCAGTAGATGTAGAAAGAATGGATGAATGGATGAATTTCATGCCTGTGGGTAAGTGCAGAGTAGTTTTCGTCTAAAGTCTTTAATTTTGTGTATTTCAGCCTGTGAAGTCCATTTTGAAAACACCAAGGTGCCCATTGAAAATGTTCTAGGAGAAGTTGGAGGTGGGTTTAAGGTGAGTTGCCGGAAGCAGCTCCTGTGACTGCTGTGCGGTTTCATGGTGCTGTTTGTTGGCCCTAGCTTTCTGTATCATCCCTGCTTGTAGCAGACCAGCCTGTGCTGGCCCGGTGACCGTGTGTGGTTCTCCTTTGGGAAATCAGCAAAGTGGAAAGGGAAAAAATTGCCTCCCAGTAGAGGAAGTGTGTGGTTAGAACTAAGTCTCTTCATTAATCTGTGAGGCTTTGTTTGCCTTGAGTAGGGACAAGATTCCTCTCCAGCACGCATGATAAAGCAGGCCAGTGGCACTGGAGAAGCACAGGTTCTCCAATGACTAGCCCTGGGTCCTGAAGCCCCAAGATGTTTTGTTTTTGAGTCAGATGTATTATTATATTTTTATTTACAGATAATTCATATAACATAAAATTCACTGTTTTCAATTGTACACATTGGTTGTTTTTAGTGTATTCGCTATGTTGTGCAATCATCACCATGGTTTAATTCCAGAACATTTCCATCACCCCAGAAAAAAATGCCATCCCTCCCATTTCCAGTTTCCCCCATCCCTTGGCAATCACTATATTAATTTCTGTTTTTATGGACATATCATATAAATGTTATATATATGTGACCTTTTGTGTTTGGCTTCTTATATGAAGTATTACTTTTTCAAAGTTTATCCAAGTGGTAGCATTTGTTATTCCTTTCAGAGGCTGGGTAATATTCCATTGTGTGGATAGACCACATTTTGTTTATTCATTTATCAGCTGATGGACCTTCTTATTGTTTCCACCTCTTGGCCATTATCAATAATGCTGCTATGAACATTTGTGTACAAGTTTTTGTGTGAACAATATGTTTTCAATTCTTTTGGGTATTTACCTAAAAGTGAAATTTCTGGGTCATATGGTGACTGTACATTTAACTTTTTGAGGAACTGCCCAGCTATTTTCCACAGTGGCTGCACCACTTTACATTCCCATCATCAATGTATGAGGGTTCTAGTTTCTCCACATCCTCATCAACACTTGTTATTGTCCATTTTTAAAATGATAGCCATCTTAGTGTGTGTGACATCATATCGCATTGTGGTTTGATTTGCATTTCCCTAATGACTAATACTGCATCTTTTCATGTGTTTATTTGCAATTTTTGGAAAAATGTCTTTTCAAATCCATTGCCCGTTTTTAAATGTCCTTTTTTTGTTGTTGTTGCCCTGTCCTAATTTACTGAATCACTTAGTTAAGTATCTTTACCCTGGTAAGATCCTCTACCCTCTTGGCTGTGAAGCAGAGAACAGAGTAATACCTTCCTCCCCATGTCTTGAGAATCAGATAAATGCCATCAGCTAGTGCTCCTGACAGGATGCTACTTGGTGAATGTGGAACAAAGGGTTGTGGAGGTGGAAGGACAAACATGGGAGCAGCAGTCTGGGTGCAGTGATAGGTTTGTTTGTCACCGTGAAGATATGCAAATTAGAGAATATAGATAAAGAGAAAAAAATGAATTCTGAAACCTGTCCCCAAGAGAATTGGCATTCATTGTTCACATTTTTGTGCTATCTTTCTAGATTTTTATAAAGACCATTCGTCCCTTAAATCTGGTGTGAATGTGTACTATAGTCTGCATTTTTTCATTTATCAATAATCCTAATGTAAACCAAAGTTAATTTTAGACTATAAAAAATAATTAAAAGCATTTATTTGAGCAAAAGGAGCTGCAGCCCAGGAGACACAGATTCAGGGAAGAGCCTAAATTGTGTTCCACCAAGACAAAGGGGAGGCCACTTTTATAGCAAAAGTTGTCCCCCAGGCTCTCAATTAGGTCTGTTTTATATAAATGAGGTGTCCAAAATGTGCAGTTCTGATTGGACAGGGCAGATGTCAGTCCCTTGGTAAAAGATCAAACCAGGGTTTCCTTGCAGGGGTTCAGTCTGAGGTTCTTCGAGGTATAGAGTACATGAGGAGCCCCTGTCAGCAAATGCCTGCTAGGCTCTTACTTATAAAACTTAGGCCCTTGGTTAACCATGGGGAATTCATTTCAGTAGATAAATTCCTTCTCAGGGTTCACATCAAAGGAATCTTTCTACTTTGGGGTCCACATAATCATCTTTTTATGCCAGTAAATGTATATTGCTGTAAGTGTTTAATGCTGAATAGTATTGCTTCATGTAGTGATACCAAGTTAAATGTTACCAGGTTCTCAGCACTGGGAATTTAATAGTGTTTTCACTTCTTTTCTACTCAGAACCACATTGCGTGGCATATATCCTTGTATATATCTTTGCATACTTTTTTTCTTTCTTTCTTTTTTTTTTTTAAGGGTTCTTTTCTTTAGTATATTTTTATTGATTTCAGAGAGGAAGGAGAGGGAGAGATAGAAACATCAGTGATGAAAGAGAATCATTGATTGGCTGCCTCCTGCATGCCCCACACTGGGGATCGAGCCCGCAACCCAGGCATGTGCCCTTGGCCGGAATTAAATCCGGGAGCCTTCAGTCCGAAGGCCTACGTTCTACTCACTGAGCCAAACCAGCTAGGGCTTTGCATACTTTTCTAATTCTTTCATGAGTTTAAACACCGCTAGTGAAGTTACTGGGTCAGAAGGTGTGAATGTTTTTAAATTCCTGATCCTTGTTGCCAAATTTCCTGCTGGGAAGTTGGACCAATGTCTACCCTTCAGTGTGGAGGATGTCCCTGCCCCTAGACCTTCCGGACGCTGCATTACATTTTTTCCCATTGTGTTAGGTAAAACATTTTTGTTTTAATATGCAAAGAAAAATAGATTTATAAATCCCTTTACTAATTTAATGGGATTGTTTGCCAGTCAGCTTAATTACTAAAAAGTGTGTCACACCTCAGTGATTCCAGAGATCACAAAATGATCAAAGTGAGTGGCTGATGAGAGATAAAAGTAAGAGCTTCTGCCCTGACTGGTTTGGCTCAGTGGATAGAGTGTCGGCCTGCGGACTGAGGGGTCCCAGGTTCGATTCCGGTCAAGGGCATGTACCTTGGTTGCGGGCACATCCCCAGTAGGAGGTGTGCAGGAGGCAGCTGATCGATGTTTCTCTCTCATCGATGTTTCTAACTCTCTATCCCTCTCCCTTCCTCTCTGTAAAAAATCAATAAAATATATTTAAAAAAAAAAAAAAAAGTAAGAGCTTCTTCTTCTAGTGCAGTGATGGCGAACCTTTTGAGCTCGGCGTGTCAGCATTTTGAAAAACCCTAACTTAACTCTGGTGCCGTGTCACATATAGAAATTTTTTGATATCTGCAACCATAGTAAAACAAAGACTTATATTTTTGATATTTATTTTATATATTTAAATGCCATTTAACAAAGAAAAATCAACCAAAAAAATGAGTTCGCGTGTCACCTCTGACACGCGTGTCATAGGTTCGTCATCACTGTTCTAGTGCCTTCAGGTTTTATCAGTAGTCAGACTGCTTAGGGCACAGAGGCAGTTAACTGACAGAGGCTGTTCAAAGAATGGGTTGCATCTTGCATCTGGGAAAATTGAGATCTAGACTGTACGTATGGGAATTATAGAAGGGAGTTATTTTGTAGTAGAAAAGGTGATAAAGTGCAAGTGCTGATGCAGGAGGAGAGGACTGAGGTTAGGGGGGAAGATCAGTCTTTGAGTTTGTGAGCCCCTTTTCAGCTGTGGCTAAACCCATCAGGTCTTTGATCCACAGGAAATGAGACCTAGTATCAAATTATTTTCTCCTTTTATTTTCGTTTTGTTGTTTTAAGTGAAAAATTAAGCATGAAGGGGCTGTGAAGTAAATTTTTTTCATAAAACTATGAGTTAGCTTTTGAGAGCCCATTTAAGAAGAGGGAAGAGGAAATACAGATGGGATTTCCTCTTCCCTCTTCATGTCCTGGTCAGTGTCCTCCCACATTCTGAGACATCAAGTCTGAAGTTAGAGTTAGAGGCTCCACCCTTCTCTCCTCCCCCCACCCCCCCAAAGAGGCAGGGCAGGACCTGAATGTAACACTATGATATGATGTGACTTAACCAAGCTCCCTTCCCCATCCAGTGCAAGGTTTGGCCTTGTCCTCCATGTTTTCCAACTGCCTTGGATTGAATATTTAGAACCAATACTTGCACTTCCCAGTAACTGGAGCAGTTGTTTCTAGTCTCTCCAGTCCCACAGAATCTGTTTTGCAGGATTCTACCATTGATTTAACAAGTAAACAAAAATGCAAATTGGTTTGCCTATTTTATTTATTTTTTTAATATATATTTTATTGATTTTTTTACAGAGAGGAAGGGAGAGAGATAGAGAGTTAGAAACATTGATGAGAGAGAAACATCGATCAGCTGCCTCCTGCACATCTCCCACCGGGGATGTGCCCGCAACCCAGGTACATGCCCCTGACCGGAATCGAACCCAGGACCCTTCAGTCCGCAGGCCGATGCTCCATCCACTGAGCCAAACCGGTTTCGGCGGTTTGCCTATTTTATAATGCTAGTCACACATAAGCAAGCAATCAATAAAAAACAGTATTGCATTTTCAGTTTTGCTTTTAGGAAAACTATAGCGTTCACAGACACCTTTCTACCCCCAGACCCCAGCCCTGCCTTTCAATGCTGGACTTGGGATGCCCTTTCTCCCTGGGATGGCCAGGTAGACCTAGCTGAGGGATCTCTTGGGTGGGAACATTTGCTACCCAACATACCCTCTTCCTACACCAAAAGAAACATGCCCACCCATTCCTACTGGACTTGTGTACCCCCCTTTACTCCACCATTATTACCACGGGCCACCTGTTGCCTAATCAGCTGTTTGCCTCTGTGCCCCCTGTAGTCGGTAAGGGGACACCACCATGAATCTAGATAGACTAGATAGATAGACACTTAGGAAGCAGTGTGTGCACACAAATGTATGCCTGTCCCTCATCACAAGCCACTCATCATCTGCATTAGGTAGGAAGTTAAAATTGATAAAGAGGAGAGAAACTGACAAAGCTCCTTAAGAAATACGTCATCATTGTAGGAATTTGGTGGAGGAGGAGCATGTCATGGCAGTGTAAGGAGCTGGTTCAGTGGAGAGAGCACAGGCCTAAATGCAGGCAGATGTTTGCTGTGTGGCCTTGGGAGAAGCCCCTCGTCTCTCTAAACCTCAGGTTCTTCGTCAGTACAATGAGAACCCTGATGCGGAAGCAATGTTGGGAAGGTGTAAGTAGCTGGCAGCATGAACCCAATAAGTCTTACTTGCATACTTTTCTTTCTTTTCTTCCCGGAGCCTAAGAGGATTCACGTGTTCTTTTAGAACGAGGTTATTCAGTTCCTTTTTAGGAGGCGACTCTGAGCCATAGCAGTGATGGTGTGACCTTGTTTTGAAGTGTTGGGACTGTGCTCTCTCCCTGCTCAGTGAGGATTGGCAAGATGATTAACTCAGCCCAAGTACTGGCACAGAATTCTTTAGGGACTTATCTTTTGTTTTCAAACCTTCTGGTAAAAATAGACAAGCACTGTTGTGGTCTGTCACCTTCAGTCCTCCAGGCCCTTGGGCTGTTCCCAGCACAGTATGGGCAAGCAGGACTCTGCGGGAGTGGAATCCACAGTGAGCCCATGCTTTCTCTGCAGGTGGCCATGAACATCCTCAACAGTGGGCGGTTCAGCATGGGCAGTGCTGTGGCCGGGATGCTCAAGAAATTAATCGGTAGGTATGTCAGGGACAGCAGCCCTTTGCGACACAGCCTCGCCCCTGCTGCCTCCCCTCCAGCCTGGACGCTCTGCCATGTGCTCACGACAGACGGTGCTGAGCAGAACATCGGGCAGATGGTCTCACTCAAGTTTAGGACCTGGGCTGTGGTTTAGATCAAAGAATGTACTCGGTCTGTCCCCAAAGGGTGAGTGTTCATGTTTCAGCACTCCTCTATTTTACCTGCTCCGAAAGGATAGGAGGAGGGGAGTGGACATTCTGTCAGAGATGAAGCGGGTAACTGCTCTGACCCATAGGAGCAGAGCTACTTAGTGAGCATCCAAGTGTGAGCCAGACACCTGTAAGCATTAGCCCTGGTTCTCCCAAGATCCCCGTTTTGTAGGTGACTCTTCCCACAGTGGGTGAGGAGTGGGATCAGGTTTGGAACCCAGATCTCTCAGCCTCTCAATCTTCCCTTTGTTTTTTCTGTTAGGATGCCTGAAATCTGGATTTTCCTTTGCCAGTAAACTTAAAATAGCCCTATAAGGTTTTTGTTGGGCACAGAACATGATTACTACATTAGTTTTGTGGGAAATGCAGGGGGCACTGGCTACGGATGGTGGGAGATACCCAGCGGCTGTATACACTGAGGGCTTATGAAGTTCCTCAGAGTTCAGGGCAAGGTGGGATGGGAAGGCTTTGCTTTGGGTTCTTACCTTCCTTTTATAGATGAGGAGACTGATGCTCAGAGAGGGTAAGGGTTTTGCCCAAGGCCATGTACCTGGGCCTAAAAGCTGATCCTGTCAGATGCCAAGCTCAGGGCTTGTCTCACTCTGCTGAGCTGCTTCCAAGACCCTGAAGTCCTCTGGATTTCTTTCCCATTCGGAAATTCCTCAGTACAAGAGCTTTGTGGGGGTGCTCACGGCCAGCCTCTCCCCAAAGGATGTAGAACGATGATATCCCAAGTCCCGGAAATGTGTGAATGTGGGTGCCTGTTTACCATCTGAGCCCACCATGAGAAGCAGTTGTGATTGGATCATACCTGTGGGAATGTTTGGAGAATGCCGACTGTAGGGGCAGGGGCTGCTGACTGGATGGGATGCTGCCCTATTCAGTTGGGTGCCTTCGCAGCTGGGACCATGACGCAGCTTGTGTTCACATCTGTGCACTTTGAAGCCATAGGCCCAAGTTTTCAAAACAGATCGCCTTCCCGCTTTGGGGATGAACAGCTGTGACAGGTGTGAGCCAGTCCCTACTTCTGTCCAGGGCGTTTATGGGGGCATGACTTGGTGCTAGGCGCCTTCCACCTGCATCGTGCAGTCTTCACAACTCTGTGAGATCAGTGGTATTGTTCAGGAAGGTGAAGTCGCTTGTCTTGGGCTACCAGCTGGTAAGAAAAAGTACCAGACTCAGACCTATGTCTGACTTCAAATTGTGCTTCACGTCTGTCCTGTGTGCTCTGGGCACCACTGGGCGTGGATAGTCCCTCCTCCAGCCTGGCTTTGCTAGAAAGCAGGGGCTCTGTCTTTCAGGGGGCTTGGTCTCAGCAGACTGTTTCACATAGTTTCTGCCTGAGGGCTGGAAGGTGATGATGACAGCCTTAGTAAATTATCGTAGGACAACCAGAAAATTGTTCTTTTAAACACTCTGTTCTTCTTCAGAAATGACTGCAGAATATGCCTGCACGAGAAAGCAGTTCAACAGGAGCCTCAGTGAATTTGGATTAATTCAGGTACTAAGGTTGTACAAGTGGCACTGTATGGATTTCACTGTGTGAGCATTGTGTCTTTCAGTGTCTGTACTGGTGACTTCTGTAAGTGACTGGGGAAGAGGACAGGCTTTATTTAATGTGACACCCTTTTTTTAAAAAATATATATATTTTTATTGATTTCAGAGAGGAAGAGAGAGGGAGAGATAGAGCATCAATGACGAGAGAATCACTGATCGGCTGCCTCCTGCACGCCTCCTACTGGGGATTGAGCCAGCAACCCGAGCATGTGCCCTCGTCCGGAATCAAATCCAGGACCCTTCAGTCCGCAGACCAATGCTCCATCCACTTAGCCAAACCAGCTAGGGCGATTTTATTCACCTTTAGAGACCACTACTATGGGAGGGGCTTTACAGAGGAATTGGTATATAAAAATGACCCTGAAAGGCAAGTAGGATTTCAAAGCAAAATCCAAAGGAGGGATGCTAGGCCAGGACCATAGTGCTAGAGGTGGGAGAGTATCTGGTGTGTTTGGAAAAGCAAGAAGCCCTGCTTTGCTTGCTGGGGCATAGAGTATGTGCAGAAGTGGCTGGAAGGGTAAGTTAAGGCTGTGCTGTGAAGGGTCTTGAGTGACAGGGTATTTGATAGGTGAGGTGAATGACCTGTGTCTGTGTAGCAGAGGGAGGCTGAGGAGGAGGTTCCAGTTACTATGGAAGTGGTCGGCTGCGGAGGAGGAGCCAGGGAAAAGGTCTTAGAACTGGCCAGGAATGTGACACCCTTTTGTGAATGCTCAGGCTCGGTTCTCCTGTATAGTGTGAGGCTTTGGACTTCATTACCTTCTCTGCTGGTTGGCAGATTTGGTTCTCAGCACATATAAAATGCTTCTTGCTTTTATTTTTTTTTAACACTCCAGGAAAAGTTTGCCTTGATGGCTCAGAAGGCTTATGTAATGGAAAGTATGGCCTACCTCACTGCAGGGATGCTGGACCAACCAGGGTTTCCTGACTGCTCCATCGAGGCTGCCATGGTGAAGGTAATCCCAGCACAGCCCGAGGGGAGCTGAGGAAAGCTCCTTAGCTACTGTGGGGTCCGTGTGGTCAAGGAAGATAAAGGACTTGCCTGAGTTCATCCAGTGAGACTGTGACAATCAGAGCTCCTGCCTCGTTCGGTCTCATCTCAAAGCCCAGTTCTCTCTTGAGCCTCCCATTCCATCCCCAGCCACTCTGCCCCTGTTCTGAGGCCTTCCTTTTGGAAGGGAGTTGGCACTGACCTTCTCCCGGGTCTGTGGCAGGTGTTCAGCTCAGAGGGTGCCTGGCAGTGCGTGAGTGAGGCGCTGCAGATCCTCGGCGGCTCGGGCTACATGAGGGACTACCCGTACGAGCGCATGCTGCGTGACACCCGCATCCTGCTCATCTTTGAGGTGCGTGCCCTGATACCAGATCCACCTCGTTCTGCCATGGACCCCCTGAGCCTCCTGGTTCTGGGCCCAGGCTGGCTTCTGCGTTCTGTCATTTAACCCTCTTCACAACCCTGCCTAGACCCTGTTCTGCAGACTGAGAGGCCAAGCATTTCACCTAGGGTCTCACTTCCAAGGGCCCTTCTGTTGAGCCTACCACCTCCTGGCAAACCACCGCAGGTCTTTGCCAAGTTGCTTTTGCCAGCTGTGGTGGAACAAACAGAGATCTTCTCATAGGAAGGCCTCAAATGCTCTGTCTGGGTCTGGGTTTTCTTCTCAGTATATTGAGGGAGCTTAGGAGGGTCATCTCTGAGGGCTTTCCCAGCCTGGCAGTTCTTGCTCTCTAATTGCTGTCCCCCATGAATTCACAAGCCTAAAGGTGCTGGGAGGGTCCTGGGTGGGGAAGACACCTCAGACACATCCCACCTTTGGAGTGCTAGTGGTCTTGATTGTGTGGACCGACTGACCAAGGAGGAAACCAGAATACCAGGGAGTGAGGGACAGGTGCATCTCTCCTGAGGGACTGAAGTCTTATGAAGCAATTGCACTTGAGGGCAGAAAGGATTTTGACCAGGCATAGGGGAGGCTGTATGGGCCGAGCACAGGGAAGTAGAGCATCCTAGGCCCAGACAGGAGCTTACCTGCCCCCTCTAAGTGAGTGGAGGTAGAATAAGCAAGCCTTTGTGGGAGTATTGGCCAGGCCTGCTTGGTGGGCTGGGGCAGGTGATGGAGCAGGTGAGGGGGGAATGGAAAGGAGACAAGCAGCCAGGTTATATAGGACCTTGGTTCTTTACTCTGGGGGCAGTGGAAACGATAAAAGGTTATAGCCCTGCTTGAATGGCTTCCACGGTGTGAGCGAGCGGGCAGTAGCACGGTCCACCCAGTCGCACATGCAGGATGCTGGGCTAACTTCCATGAGGCAGCTTTGACCTCTGTACTGCTGACCACAGGGAACCAATGAGATTCTCCGGATGTACATCGCCCTGACAGGCCTGCAGCACGCCGGACGCATCCTGACAGCAAGGATCAAGTAGGTGCCATTCCCACTCTGCTCCTTGGGTCCCACCTGGGAAAACAAGAGTGGGTGAGCAGTATATCCTTGAAAAGCCGAGCCCATTCGCTGCCTGGCTGGAGAGAGGGAAGGTGGGCAGGAGCCTTGGCAGTGAGTGTTTGGCCTTGGAAGCTGGGCTCCAGAGCTCGGCCATTATTTGAGGCTGACAGGAGGAGCCAGCTACTCAGTGAAGCCCTCACTGCCCTGCCCATGGGCTCACTCCCTGGACAGTTCCTGTTTCCTATGCTGCAGGGACTTTTGTTTTCAGGATCTGGGAATGAGAGATGCCCCTTAAATAGATGCCAGGCTCCAAGGCCAACACAAGAACAATTTGTTTGTTTTCTCTCTCCCTTGCTCTTGCCCTCTCTTGCTCCTCTCAATCCCCATCCTGAGGCCAGGGCAATTAGAAATCACTGCTGGAGCCCAAGAACAGGTTGCTCAGAGCATATTGCAAAGTATTTACTGGAGAAGAACGACCTGGAAGCTGGCTGTGGCTCAGCTCCTTGTGGAGGGAGCACAAGAATAGCTCTACCTCAGAGGAGACTGGCTGCTATCGGACAGGCTGGCCGGACTCAGCCTGCAGCCAGGTGCCCGGAGTGCCCAGACTAGAGGAAGGTCATATTGGGCCTGGGTTGGCACTTTATGGCTTTGCATAGTCAGGGAGAAGGAATGGGTGCCCTAGAGCTCTGGGGTACCTATTGGTGGGGGTTTTGTTGCTGGGCAGTGGGAAGAACAGCAGGGCCTCAGGTCATGGGGCCATGGGCTTTCTGCAGCGAGCTTAAACGGGGCAATGTGACCACTGTCCTGGAGACCGTTGGCCAGAGACTTCGGGACTCCTTGGGCCGAACCGTGGACCTGGGATTGACAGGGAATCTCGGAGTTGTGCACCCCAGTGTTGCGGTGAGTGAGCCCAGCAGGTATAGCCTGTCAGATATCTTCCTCCCAGAAGGGATGTGACCAAGGGTGATGGGGAGGACCAGTCAGTCTGAGGGACAGCTGATGTCCCGTCTCCACCCTGTCACAATGGAGAACAGCCTGCATGTTAGCCAGGCCTGGGCCCTGGAGGCCCTGCCATCCCAGTGGGACAGGATGGCACCATGGGGAGGAGGTGCTGAGCTGAGTCCTTTCCTCTGGCCTCCAGGACGGTGCCAACAAGCTCGAGGAGAACGTGTATTACTTTGGGCGCACTGTGGAGACGTTGCTGCTCCGCTTTGGCAAGGTAGTCAGGCCCCTGCCAGACCCAGGGGTGGCAGGCCCTCCAACTTTGGGGTTAGGGAAATGGGGCCAGCATCTATGAGATAATGTTTTACCAAGTGTCCACCTTTAGAACCAAGCCCAGGAAGAAATCTACTCACCATGGAGGGGTGGAATGGGGAAGCAGGGCTGATGGGGTGGGTGCCCTGCTGGGGAGCCCCCTCCAGATGAAGAGAGGCTCCTGCATTTGTGGGGGAAGCCTCAGCAGGGCGTGAATCTCACGACCTGATCTGGGAGGCTCTGCGGCTGAAGATGTATTAATTAAGCCCTGGCCTCTGGTCTCAGCCAGGTTCCTGGGACTTGGTCTTACCTTTACCCTTGCCCAAATCTAGACAGAGTGAAAGGAAAACAGGCGGCCACCGGGAGCCAACTTCTCACAATCCCGAGGCATAAAATGAGGCTCAGAGATGTGAAATGTGCCCAGGGAGGGACTGTGGGGGATGGGATCGCAAGTAATGGGCCTCCACCCTGGGGCTCTGTGTTCCCAGACCATTGTGGAGGAGCAGATGGTCTTGAAGCGGGTGGCCAACATCCTCATCAACCTGTACGGCATGACAGCTGTGCTGTCTCGGGCCAGCCGCTCCATACGAGCAGGACTCCGGAACCATGACCACGAGGTGAGCCTGCTCTGCCCTGCCCTGTTCTACTCGTCCACACACAGGTAGCTTCCCACTGGCTTTGTCCTGCTGCACTCAACTGAGGCCCGGTGGTTGGGGGTGGGATCATTGAGTGGCATGGCCCAATTTAGCAGTCTCAAGTGGGAGGGCTGGGCAAGTCAAGGGGCTTGGAACCCCAGAGAGAGAGTAAAGTGCAGGGTCTGTGCAGCGGTTGACCTGGAGGCTGGTGGGTTTGCCGAGTTGTGGCTGTGGCCTGTGGTAAGTACTGAAGTTCCAATGGGAGGGAGGGTCCATGTCTGCTCAGGACACAGGGCCACTCCCTTTCGTTTTCCCATTTGAGAGAAAAGGGTGGGTGAGTGATGGAGTCCTACACCCAGTGCCCTCACCCTGTCTGTCCTCCTCACCCTGCTAGAGGAGTCACTGAGTGCCTGTGGATTTCGTCTTCATGTGCATTGACTCAGTAGCCAGTGTCCACAGGAATTGTGATGTCTCTCTCACAGCGGAGGAAACTGAGGCTCAGAGATGTTGAGTAATTTGCTCTTGGGACAGAGCTAGTTTGGCTCTGGGCTGGAATTAGTACCTAAGATTGTGTCACTTCTGAGCCAAGCTTCTTGACCCCAGTCAAGCTGCCCAGTGGTTCTTTCAAGTTTAGAGCAGTGGTTCCCAAACTTATTTGGCCTACCGCCCCCTTTCCAGAAAAAATATTACTCAGCCCCTGGAAATTAATTTTTTTTTAATTTTAATAGCAGTTACTCATCGCCCCCAAATGCACCTGTGGCCATCACCGCCCCCCTGGATCGCTGCAGCGCCTACCAGGGGGCGGTAGCGCCCACTTTGGGAATCACTGGTTTAGAGGTCAGTCACCAGGGAGGGAGCCCTATGGCCCAGAGAGCTCAAGGTTCTCTCTGACCTTGGTTCTGGCAGGTTCTGTTGGCCAACATCTTCTGCACAGAAGCTTATTGCCAGAATCTCTTCACCTTATCTCAGCTGGACAAGTGTGAGTAGGGTTGCTTGGGGGAGGAAGGAAAGGGTCTGATTCTAGGCGACTGTTTTTTTTTTGTTTGTTTGTTTTTAATTAAATCTTTATTGTTCAGATTATTACATTTGTTCCTCTTTTTTTCCCCCCATAACTCCCCTCCTTCCAGCTCCCACCCCACCCTCCGCCCTCACTCCCCACCCACTGTCCTCATCCATAGGTGTGCACGATTTTTGTCCAGTCTCTTCCCGCATCTCCCACTCCCCTTTCCCCCCCAAGAATAGTCAGTCCATTCCCTTTCTATGTCCCTGATTCTATTATAATCACCAGTTCATTTTGTACATCAGGTTATTTATTCACTTGATTCTTAGATTCACTTGTTGATAGATGCATATTTGTTGTTCATAATTTGTATCTTTACCTTTTTCTTCTTCTTCCTCTTCTTAAAGGATACCTTTCAGCATTTCATATAATACTGGTTTGGTGGTGATGAACTCCTTTAGCTTTTCCTTATCTGTGAAGCTCTTTATCTGACCTTCAATTCTGAATGATAGCTTTGCTGGATAAAGTAATCTTGGTTGTAGGTTCTTGGTATTCATCACTTTGAATATTTCTTGCCACTCCCTTCTGGCCTGCAAAGTTTCTGTTGAGAAATCAGCTGACAGTCGTATGGGTATTCCCTTGTAGGTAACTGAGTTTCTTTCTCTTGCTGCTTTTAAGATTCTCTCTTTGTCTTTTGCTCTTGGCATTTTAATTATGATGTGTCTTGGTGTGGTCCTCTTTGGATTCCTTTTGTTTGGGGTTCTCTGCGCTTCCTGGACCTGTAAGTCTATTTCTTTCACCAGGTGGGGAAAGTTTTCTGTCATTATTTCTTCAAATAGGTTTTCAATATCTTGCTCTCTCTCATCTTCTGGCACCCCTATAATTCTGATGTTGGTACGTTTGAAGCTGTCCCAGAGGCTCCTTACACTATCTTTGTATTTTTGGGTTCTTTTTTCATTTTGCTTTTCCGGTTGGGTGTTTCTCGCTTCTTCGCATTTCAAATCTTTGACTTGATCCTTGCGACCCTCTGGTCTGCTGTTGGGAGTCTGTATAATATTCTTTATTTCAGTCAGTGTATGCTTACTTTCTAGATGGTCCTTTATCACACCATCGAGGGTCTCATTAGATTTCCTGTATATCTCATCAAGTTTATCGACAGACTCTAGAAGCCTCTTGAGAGACCTCAAAAGTGTGGTTCTGAACTCAATATCCTCCCTTGATAGTTTTGTCCTGTTTCTTTGACTCCGCATTTTTTACGCTTTCTTGGTACACCCCCTAGTGGTCTTTGTGCGCAGTCTTGTTGTCTCTAGGCCACTGTTGATGGTGAGCTTCTTCTGGACCCTGTTGCCGGGGTTCGTGTCCCAGCATCAAGAAGCGTTCAGGAATCTGGAAAAGGCGCTGTGCGTAGATGACATAGAAATTCCAGAGACTAATAAAGAGTCCGGAGACGAGTTATAATTTTAAAAGGCATTGGGGATCAGAGGACCTTCAGCTAAAGGAACTGAAGACTACCTCCTTGCCTAGGACCCTTGCTTTTATTAACACAATTTGTCTGTCCTAAGACAGGGTGGAGATAATACACCTCAAAGGGTAAGGTTTCAAAGGGTACAGAGGCATTGTCTGGGGAATAGCCTACGGCTGTTCAGGTGTTTGGCCAGTAGGAGGCAATAACATGTAGATTAAGATGCCCTTTAGCTGTCTGGCAGCCACAATCAGTTTCCTATTCAAGGTTTGGGGAAATGCCTTTAGCCATTCCCAGATGGTGACTACATGTGTGACTCAACCCTGTTGAGTCCCCAAGTCTCATCAACCTTTTGATGAAACTCTTAAAATTATGACATGCTGGAATTGGTCTATGGCACCCTGTCAGGCTCCCATGGCCTGCTGGCTACTCACAAACTTCTGCCTTGAGTGAGGGCTGACTAAGACCTCCACTGGCAGAGAGGCAGGAGCACGGATCTGCAGGTGCAAGCTCTGCCACAGCCCCTGTGCGGGCCCTGCAGCATCTGCCCAGGGAAGGTTCACAAAGGAAGGAGACATTTCCCTTGCCTTTTCACTCGAACACTGCAGTGGAGAGGAAGCTGCCCCTCTCACAGATGACCCGGGATGCTGTTCTAGACCATCTGCTCAGTCTGGAATGCTCCTATGGCCATGTCTTAGAATGTATAGCTTAAATTCTCCTCTGACCTTACAGTCCTGCTGGCCTCAAGGCTTTACATCATGTGTTCCAACAGAGCCCAGCCCTGTTGCTAAGAGATTGTGGAGAGGGGCACATAATTCTGTGTAGGTTCTGGCTCAGGGTGCTGTTCAGGCACCCTCCACAGTGCTGACTTGACTGTTAATGTGCTATGGAGATGAGGAGATGGTTTCTCCTGCAATAATAGGCTTGCATCGCAAAGGGTCTTTTATTGAGCAAGTGCCTTCTCCCACAGGATCTAGAGTTTTTAGGGATTAACAAGATGATCCCTTTGTTATTCAGAGTAAAGCCTCTATGTACAGCCCAGAATCACTTCCTGGGGGTTTGGAGGGGTGGTGGGGATACCCACAGGCTGACTGTTAGGAAAACTGTTCCAGCAATATTCCGGTTGTCACAATGCAGACAGATCACCCGCTGTCTTCTTTCCCTCCCAGATTCTCCAGAAAATCTAGATGAACAGATCAAGAAAGTGTCCCAGCAGGTCCTAGAGAAGCGAGCATACATCTGTGCCCACCCTTTGGACCGGACATCCTGAAGCAGAGGGATGGTGGTCACTGTTGCCGCCAGCCCTCAGGCCACAGCCTGTTGCTGGACAACTCTCACTTTTTCCAGAAGGTGTTGAACTTGGGGTTATTTTAAGTTGAACTTTATTCCCAGTCTTTATCTGAGGTCTTTCTCTTCGCCTGGAGAAACTTCTTCTAGGCTTGATCTGTGAGCACTGCTGCCTAACATGATCATTCCAGGTTCCTAGTGGAGATGGAGATGGATAGAGAGAGAATGGAGTTGCTGAGACCTGGAATTAGAGGATACGCTCTTAGTTTAGGAGACCTCAGAATGGAAACGGGCGCTTGAGCTGCTGCCTCTGTCGCATGAGCCTGCGGGGACCTATTTCGGGCATGGACGGCCAGTTCTACTAGACCACACCTTTCCCAAGAAATAGCTTGAAAGCTGTGTATGTGTCATTCATTCAGACTAGCAGCAAAATATACTTAAAACATGTACCAGGAACCACTTAACAAAAAAAGAATATAAAATGGCACAGTTTGTGTTTACCCTTCTAGTCATGTTTTTCCTCAGAACCAGCCTTTAATGGATGGCAGCATGCTCCTAAAAACCACCCTTTGGTGATGGCTCTCAGTCTCTTTTGTCCTCAACCTGTGAGAAGAAGGCCTTGAAAGCTGAGGAGCAGGTTCCCTCTGCAGGGCCATGGGGATTATGAGCCCTATCTTTGATCCCTCTCGGTGATGGCTGGAAAACAGCATTGCTTGGTACATGACAACATATGCTTGTTTCCACCTGGGTTTTTCTGTCTGTTTTCTTTGCAAGGATTGCCTGTCTACAGTGGACCAGAAAGTTGACATTGCCTAAGGCCACTGGAACTGGTACATACAGCACCTGAGTTTAGAGAATGGAAATAAAAGTAGCAACACCTACAAACATCCCCAAAGGAAGGGGAAAGTAAGAATAGATACTTTTGAAGAAATAATGAGTATCGAATTGATAAGGAAAATTCCAAGCCTGGACACATTTTTAGTGAGATTTAAAACAAAGGCAAAGATGAATTCTGAAAAGTAACAGAGAAAAAGGGCAGGGCACCTGTGAAGGAAAAAGTACGATGAACATCAGATCCCACAACAGCAATGCTGTAAATAAGAAGGTAAAGAACTTGAGCCTGCAGATTTTTTGTTTTGTTTTGTCTTGGTTTTGTTTTTAATTGATTTTAAAATAATGAAAAGGCAAGCCATAGACTGGGAAAATATATTTGCAATACATGTGACTGACAACTGATCCAGATAAAAATAAAATAAAAAACCCACAAGCCAGTAAGAAAAATACAACTAAACTTCTTTTAAATAGAGGAAAAATATATAGTTAACAGGCACGTCACAAAATGAGATATCCAAATGGCCAATCATATGAACAGGTACTCAACATTATTACAGATATTTATAAGTAAATATATGTGTGTTGAAAATAAGCTAATGCAGGAAGGCATACTGTATGGTTCCATTATATCAAGTTCAACAAGCAAAACTAATGTGGTGACACTTCAGGATGTTAGTTAATGGGGAAGGGATATGATACTTTCTGGGTGATAGAATTCTTCTACATGCTGATTTGAGTAATGGTTTCACAGATACCTATATATGAAAGCCTAAGTGACCATTACAACCAGACGACTGGTAGCTATGACGCGCACTGACCACCAAGGGGCAGACGCTCAATGCAGGAGCTGCCCTCTGGTGGTCAGTGCGCTCCCACAGCCAACCTCCTGCGGCCAGCCAACCTCCCACAGTCCCTCCCCCCAGCCGGCCAGCCCAATTAGCCTGGATTGGGACTGGGCAAGACGGCCCCGATTGGACAGGAGGGACCCCACCTGTGCATGAATTTGTGCACCGGGCCTCTAGTATCTATATATCTATATGTATGTGTGTGTGAATGACTTAAGATTTATGCATTTTACTAACTTTAATGTATTAAAAAAAAAGAAAAGAAAACTTGACATAAAACCATAAGTGAATATTCTGTGAGAGAAAGCCATTGTGCAAGAATAGAAGCCTTTTAATATTTTACAAGAATATATATTACAAGAATAGAAGCCTTTTAATGATAGTGGCCAGCATTTGCTAGTATTGTTTATTTGCTTTCCATCCATCATCTGATTAAATCTTCATTATAACTCTATGGACTCAGAATTTTTAATTATCTTGTGCAGTTGAGGAAACTGGAACCATACGTTTCCATGACTTATCAAGGGTTATAAAGCTAAAAGGGTAGTAGATCTAGAATCTAAATCTTAGAATATTTGGTTCCAAAGCTAGTGCTCATAATGACTCTACTACATTTACTCTCTGTTATAAATGAAATGATTCATAAAACTATCATTGTGCCAAAAATGGAGCTTTTACAAATAAAATTCTCTGTCATTAGAAAATAAATACATAGGAGGAGAAAGAAACAAATCCCTAATCATACTGTATTTGGATATTTTAACAGACTTCCTCTAGTGAGGGAAGAAACAGAATTTAAAGATACGGTTATAGAAGATTTGAAAAAAATTGACATATATAGAACATTATCAACAACTACAGGAATACACATATATTTCAAGTAAGTTGGGACATTTACCAGAATTGATATGCTGAACCACAAATCAAATCTCAGCAATGGATAGAAGATATACAGTAAAATCAAGGTAGAACTCAGTAACAAAAAGATATGGGTAACTGAAACTTCCTAAAGTATTTAGAAATTAAACAGTATACTATTAAATAACCCATGTGTCAAAGAAAAAATAAAAATGGAATTAGAAATATTTTTAACTGAGTCATTATGAACATATGTATTTAAACTTGGGGAATGTAGTTAATGTTCACAGAAAATTCACAGCCAAAATGAATATAATAAAATGATAAATACTTAAAATCAATTATCTCAATATCCATCTGAAGAAATTAGAAAAAGAACAAATTAAATCTAAAAATAAAAAAATGAATAAGCAGAAATCAACAATATCCTATATAATAAAAGCCTCATATGCTAAGTGTCTGGTTGTCTGTTCAACCAATCAAAGCATAATATGCTAAGGCCGCTGAACCGCTCACTATGACGTGCATTGACCACCAAGGGGCAGACGCTCCAAACGGTAGGTTAGCTTGCTGCTGGGGTCCGGCCAATCAGGACTGAGCAAGACAGCTGGACATGCTCTGGAGCCCTCCCACAGTCCCTCCCCGGCTGGCCAACCTCCCGCATCCCTCTCTGGCCCCAGTCATGCACTGGTGTGGTCCCTCGGCCTGGCCTGCGCCCTCTCACAATCCAGGACTGTTCAGGGGTGTCGGAGAACTGGTTTCAGCCCGATGGCGGAATGACCAGTTGCTATGACACGCACTGACCACCAGGGGGCAGATGCTCAACGCAGGAGCTGCCCCCTGGTGGTCAGTGTGCTCCCACAGGGGGAGCACCACTCAGCCAGAAGCCAGGTTCACAGCTGGCAAGTGCAGCGCCGGTGGCAGGAGCCTCTCCTGCCTCTGCGGCAGCACTAAGGATGCCCAACTGATGGCTTAGGCCTGCTCCCCACAGTAAGCGGGCCTAAGCCATCAGTCAGACATCCCCCGAGGGCTCCCAGACTGCAAGAGGGCGCAGGCTGGGCTGAGGGACAACCGCCCCCACCCCCCGAGTGCACAAATTTCGTGCACTGGGCTTCTAGTAAAAAATAAAGGTATAATATGGAAATCAAATGAGCAATGGAGAATATTGGTTCTTTGAAGAGAATATTGCATTCATAAATGCAATTTCTTTTTTTTTTAATATTTTATTGATTTTTTACAGAGAGGAAGGGAGAGGGATAGAGAGTTAGAAACATGGATGAGAAACATCGATCAGCTGCCTCCTGTACACCCCCCACTGGGGATGTGCCCGCAACCAAGGTACATGCCCTTGATCGGAATCGAACCTGGGACCCTTCAGTCCGCAGGTTGACGCTCTAGCCACTGAGCCAAACCAGTTAGGGCCATAAATGCAAAACAAGGTTTTAAAATTTTTAGGACAAAATAATAGTTTTATGACCTAGGGGTAGGAAATAATTACTTAAGGCAAAAAATACAAATCATAAGGGTAGAAATGGAAAATTTACAAAATTTCAAATAATTTTAATCAATAAAAGACATCATTAAAAGAGTGAGAAGACAGACAGCAGCTGATATATACCACATATATAAAATGCCACCAGGCTAGCATTGAGAACATTAAAACACCTAAAATTCAAGGAAAATTTTTTATTAGCAAATTTATGAACAGATATTCAAATTCACTAGTAAACAATGAAATGCAAATTAAAACCTCCATGTGATACTATTACACATCAGATTAACAATAAGTCTGGCTATAACCTGTGTGCATGGAAGTAGAATAATTGGAAATCATGCATGGTTGCTGGGTATACATTGGTATAACCATTTTGGAAATTAAAGTATTATCCTGGCAAATGAAAATGCCACTAAGCAATTCTAATTCTAGGTATATATCTTGCATATATATATATATACTAGAGGCCCGGTGCACAAAAATTTGTGCACTTGTGGGGGAAAGGGGGTTCCTCAGCCCAGCCTGTGCCCTCTCGCAGTCTGGGACCCCTCAGGGGATGACCACCTGCTGGCTTAGGCCCACTCCCCAGGGGATTGGGCCTAAGATGGCAATCAGACATCCCTCTGGCAGCCCGGCAACCTTGGGGGATGTCCACTTGCCAGCGGGGAGCAGACCTAAACTGCAGTCGGACATCCTTAGTGCTGCTGAGGAGGCAGGAGAGGCTCCCACCACCACCGCTGTACTGGCAGCCATCAGCTTGGCTTGTGGCTGAGCAGAGCTCCCCGCTGTGAGAGCACACTGACCACCAGAGGGCAGCTCCTGCATTGAGCGTCTGCCCCCTGGTGGTCAGTGTGTGTCATAGTGACCAGTCATTCTCAGTCTTTCTGCTGTTAGGGTCAGTTTGCATATTACTCTTTTACTATATAGGATAGAGGCCTGGTGCACGGGTGGGGGCCAGCTGGTTTGCCCTGAAGGGTGATCCGGATCAGGGTGGGGGTCCCGCTTGGGTGCCTGGCCAGCCTGGATGACGGGCTGATGGCTGTTTGCAGTTGGTCACACCCCCTTCAGGGTGGGGGTCCCCACTGGGGTGCCTGGCTAGTCTGGGTGAGGGGCTGAGGGCCGTTTTCAGGCTGGTGGGTGACTGAAGCTCCCAGCCTCTTTTTTTTTTCTTTTTTTTTTATTCTGGGATTTATTTACCTTCTATAGCTGTCACTGGAGCTGAGAGCCGGCTCCAGCTCTGAGGCTGTGGCTGGCTGAAAGCAGGTATCTGGGTTTGTTTAGCTTCTATAATTGAAACTCTGTTGCCATCACTGGTGCTCTGAGCTTTGAGCCCGCTGGCGGCTGAAAGCAGGTTTCTGGGTTTGTTTAGCTTCTATAATTGCAACATTGTTGCATCCGGCAGGCGGGGAACCTTGGCTTCCTCCGTCACTGGAGCAAGCAAGCCTCATGTTCGCTTCAGCTGCGTGGCTGCCGGCCGCCATCTTTGTTGGCAGTTAATTTGCATATCTCGCTGATTAGCCAATGGGAAGGGTAGCGAAGTAACGGTTAATTACCATGTTTCTCTATTATTAGATAGAATATATTCAAAATATATTTTATTGATTTTTTTACAGAGAGGGAGAGGGATAGAGAGTTAGAAACATCAATGGGAGTGAAACATTGATCAGCTGCCTCCTGCACACCTCCTACTGGGGATGTGCCCACAACCAAGGTACATGCCCTTGACCGGAATCGAACCTGGGATCTTTCAGTCCACAGGCCAACGCTCTATCCAGTGAGCCAAACCGGTTAGGGCTTGCATATATTTTTAGAAGACATGTTCACAATATGCCTGCAATTATATTAAGTAGCAAAACAAGAAACTACAAATGCCCATCAATTAGTTGTATATTCCTACACCTAGACACATAAACATGGTTGAAACTCCTCAATACTGAGTTAAAGCTAATGAAGATTATATACAGTATCATTCCATTTTATAATTTTCAAAAATATGCAAATCTAAAAATACTTACAAATATATGTGCAGTAAACATTAAGAGGAAAAACAAGTGAAATAGAATTCAGGGTAGTGATAACTTCTGGTATAAGTGGTACACAGAACAAAATATTGATAATGTTTCATTTGTTAAGCTGAATAGTGGGCGTAAAACATTCAATAGTATTTTTAACAGTATACACATATATACTCTTACATGTATATTTAATAAAAGCATTAAACACTATGTAATTCATGAAAATAAACGTGAGAATTTATGGAAAGTAAAAACATGATTGGTACAATTTAAAATTATAAATTGTTAAGTAACATAATGGTCCCAGGGGAAGATCAAATTAGTGAAGTGGAAGGTCGAGCAGAACTCAATGTAAAAGACCAACAAGTCCAAATTAAGATTAAAAAATCATAGAGGAGGGCTCATTAAGTCTCATAGAAGTCCCCAACTGGATACCTAGATATGAACAATGATAAAGAGAAAGGTTTTTTTAATCTTTATTGTTGAAAGTATTACACAGTCCCCCTTTCTCCTCCCTACCCCAGCCCCCGCCATTGACCTCTTCTAGCCTGCCCCCACCCCCCACCACAGGCCTTCGTCCTATTGTCTATTTCCATGGGTTACACACACATGCATACAACTTCTTTGGTTAATCTCTTCCCACCCACTCCCCCTCCCCCACCCCCTCCCCCATCTCCTCTCTAAAATTCGATAGTCTGTTCCATGCTTCTATGTCTCTGGAAAGAGAATGTTTTAAAAGATTCTAGAGCAGTGGTTCTCAACCTTCCTAATGCCGCGGCCCTTTAATACAATCCCTCATGTTGTGGTGAGCCCCAACCATAAAATTATTTTCATTGCTACTTCATAACTGTAATTTTGCTACTGTTATGAATCGTAATGTAGATATCTGATATGCAGGATGTATTTAGGCAACCCCTGTGAAAGGGTCATTCAACCCCCAAAGGGGTCGCGACCCACAGGTTGAGAACCGCTGCTCTAGAGGGAGTCATAGTTTAGTTTAAAAAAAATCAGATGGGCATCAATCTTATCTGCAACTTTTGATTTTAGAAAGCAATGTTTCTGGTGGTGGTGGTGGTAGTTGTGTGCATTCAGGAATTTGAGTTTATAATCCTAAAAATAACTCATTTGCTAGTCAAGTGCAAAGACAGAATGATGACTTTGGATCAGCAAGCACCCTGAAAGTTTATCCACAAAATGTTTCTGGAAAAAAAAAAGTAAAAGCAAAGGATAGACATACACACACCACCTCACCCCACCCCCTTCTCCTTTATCCATCACATTTCTTGGTCCAGTCACATGGTACATTTTGCAGTTCTTTTTCCTCAAAAAAAAAACACACACAAAAAAAACGATAAAACTGGGGGGAAAAATTCTCGAAAGCAACTATTGGAAATTTTCTAAAGGCATACAGCAAACAGAGAAGTATTTTAGTCATAATCTACTGAACCTCAGGTTAGAACAATAAAAGTGTCATTCCTGCCACTGCAGTGCACTCAGCAATCTTCTAGGGAGGTAAGTCCTAAAAATCAGCAGTTTCTCTGCTTACTTGAGTGCAGGCTCAGTGAGCCTGGAGTTGAATTCCTAGATGGAGCAAGCAACAGGCCAGCAGATTAGTCAGAATTTAATAGGAAGACACAGGAAATGAGATTTCCACAGAGGAGCTTAGTAAATTCTTCACACATCACTTGTGATTGCCTGCACATGCAGAGGAGGTGTA